GGAGTTTTGCCAGAGGACGTGATTGTCATTGTATTGGGACATTTGAATGTGGCAGAGCTGTTGACTGTTCGACAGGTGTGTATTGCATGAAAATCTAATGTTATGATATTGACTTGGCGATATAGTGCAACAGATGGTTCAAATATTTGACAGAAAATCGCCAGTTTTGGATTAGCTTTGTCTCGCATCCATACTTTCCTTTTTCGGCTTCGGCTCCGAGCTTGGATACTTTGCCGACTCACGGGCTAGAACAACTCGTGCGCCGCCAATATGAGCTTTCGCGTACCTGGTCGCCCAAGCGGAACGTCACAGCCTCTATAGCTGTTCGTCATTCTTACCGGTGGTCCCTGCCGAACAACGAGTCCCTCACAGCCATGTCGTCCATGGACTCCTGGGTCGCGGTCGCGTCTGACCTGGGTGGTGTATACGTCTGCGCTCCGTTTGGTTCCGACGCGGAACACAGTACGAAATGGGTCAGGATGCTGTCCGTGTCTGTGGAGATCAACAAGCTGTCGGTGGCTGTATGGCAGTCGCTTGGGCGTGAGTATGTGGCTGTGATGTGGGCGGGGCGGATGGTGGTGGGCTTAGAGTTCGTGGTTTGCTTCCCGGGTTGCGCGTATCACAGGTTTACTATTTTACAATAGGTATCGATGCGGCTTGGTCGTGGCTTCGGCAGAGGACTTGGTTACTGCACAGTGCCGCGCTTCGGGAAGAGTAGTGCTTAGCACCTCGGACTTTGTATCGTCCTCGGTGATGGAACTTCGGAATCCTGCTTCGGAAATCATGGATATCGCATTGGGGGATAGATATTGCGCAATTGTCGACGCTGCGCATATTATCCAGGTATTCATGCATAGAGCACCTGACAGCAATGTAATCGCACCTACCAATCGCTTTGAATTTCAAGGGCGATATCGATCTTCTCGTAAAGTACGTCCCGGCCCCAGACTATCACGAGCGCTGAACTTACTACTTCTTACTATAGACAATATCCCTCCAGTTCCTCCCAGATGACCAACTACTTTTCCAGTCTGATAGCTTCATAGGCGTCTACAAACCTGTTGCTCCCGATTCTTCCGTCATGGAGGACAAATATGTCACGAAACTCCCGTCTACCCACTTTTTTGGCCTCCTTACCCAGCGCCGATCTTCGAATATCCCATCCATGCCCGATTACATGAGTGTACCCCTAGTCGCGCTCAGTAGCAGCGGCGCGGAGGTTACCCATTTCGATCTCTGCATACCTCCACATGATGCTGCGAACGACTTGAAGGACGACTATCGACTCTCTCATCGCCGTTCCGCATCCTACTTACTCGTCCCTTGGATGAAGCCCTTTTCTCTCGGCACCATCAACGGAGGGTATTCTCGTCTTGTTTGGATAACCTCCACAGAGGGTCGACCGTTTGGGATTGCACTTGGACGACAGTGTGTGGGCAATGGCGATCCGACATTATCCTACCAGGCACCACTCGATCGTACCGAGTTGGATCTGGGGGAGTATGGAAAAGCGTTGATTGAACATGCTCCATCTGGACCGCTTTTTGCTTTCCATGAGGGCGAAGGGAAGTTACTTGGTGGTGTACGAGGGGTGCCGGACTTGTTTATGATTAATTACTAGGTACTGGTATCGGACAATTGGCTCTTGATTTAAACGCGTGCATATACCCTGAAATACTAACATTTCTTGACGAGCATGGATGGCTCCCTGCTGAGATCAAGCGAATCTCGAAGGCGTGTCTTGTGAGCACTAGCCCTTACTTCAATTCGTGACTCGTCCTTATCATCCTGCTCTGTCAATAACGGGTTAGGAGCACAGCTAGCAAGGCACGGTTTGCATAACTTCCCTATCTTTTTGCCCAACGTTTCTACTTGAAATCACCCTTTTCAACGCCCGAATATCTTGCGAAGAGCTGCTCTTCTAGATGATATTAGCGCCCGAAGCCAAGGTCTTTTCGTTGTAATCGTTTGGATTCTTTCCACTGGCCTTGACTTCGGCTTCCTATACCGAAATCTAGCGACCAGTCAGCCTGTAGCCTATTCGAGCTCCTAAGATCGAATGCCTTTGTATTGGTTGTCGTCCTACTGACTTCTATATACGGATGATCTCGGCGTAATGCGCACGGCTCGAATTTAGTCATACAAAATGAGTCCGAGGTCGTCAATCATCTACAGGACGAACTCAGTCTTTGAATATGAGCTCAGGCCATTTCCCCGTGAATCTTTCAGTAAACTGTAGCTGAGGTTATAGCAAAGAGTAACATTTGGGGGAAGCAGGTTGTTTGCAAATGTCCGCAATAGCATACAATCATAAGAGCCTCCTTTTTGTGTGGCGTAATATAGGGATCAAACGAGGCGGAATCTCGACCATAGTTGGCCCTTCAAATGTGTCGTGCATGACAGGCTTGCAATCGATCCGGGAGTCCAAAATGAGCGGAGATATGTATCGAGTGAGCTGGGGAGAAAATGAATACTAAGCCCATGGTTAAAATTTGCCCTTCAGCACCCAGTGATTACTTCGCTGTGATTCGCAGAGTAGCAAATCGGTGACATACCAATGTCGCATATTTTGTCATTATCAGGAACTACCAAGTCTCTGTTTTCGTTTTCCTAAAGATCTAAGTCGCCGCTCGAATAAGCATGCTACTTGGCTCTCAGGTCGAGAATGCATTGCACGAGTGGCTGGATAGAGGCGGAATCTATTCAGCCCAATCTAATCCCATTAGAGATCACGTGGGTGATGGTACCGGCCTGGGATTAGCGCCAGCCCACGTTCCACAGTCTCCCCAAGTGTCCTCGATTTGTTGCGTTGCTTTGTCGAAATGAACAAAATTTCCCAAATTCAAAGTAGAATTTTGTTCAATTTATCTTGAATAGAGCCGGGAACTTGATACGTGACGTGTGAGTACTCAGGTTGTAATATTCTGCTATTGTGTCCTGAGATACAGCTGTTTTGGGCGTTAAGGTCGTTTTGATCACCCGGGGTTACCATTAGTAGAAGTGACACGACGAAGGACTCTGAACACGTTTGCACCCGACAACCATGCTCAACAAAGTGTTTCCATTCGGTCTCGCTTGCCACCACCCGCAGGTCGAATCATTTTCTGACCGCCAACCATCTGGGTCGTGGTGGATGGGCTCGAAAGCCTCTCGCACCCGCCATCGCGATCCACCACGGAGGCATTTGAAAGAAGACGGAGTTTTGCCAGAGGACGTGATTGTTATCATATTGGGGTATTTGAACGTGGCGGAGCTTTTGGTCGTTCGGCAGGTGGGTGTATCAGTCAATGATTTACCTTCAAGGTGCTTACTTCTACAGTGTAATAAATGGCTCAAGCATTTGACGGAGAATCGCCAGTTCTGGACTAGAATTGTTTCGCATCCTTACTTTCCGAGACTGGCTTCTGCACCTCCGATAGACACCTTGTCAACTCGTACCCTAGAACAACTTGTACGCCGTCAACATGAACTCTCTCGTACATGGTCACCTAAGCGAAGTGTCACAGCTCCTATAGCTGTTCGCCGTTCTTACCGGTTGTCCATGCCGAACAACGAGTCCCTCACAGCCATGTCGTCCATGGACTCCTGGGTCGCAGTCGCGTCTGACCTGGGTGGTGTGTACGTCTGCGCTCCGTTTGGTTCCGACGCAGGACAAAGTACGAAATGGGTCAGAATGCTGTCTGTGTCTGTGGAGATCAGCAAGCTGTCGGTGGCTGTATGGCAGTCGCTTGGGCGTGAATATGTGGCTGTGATGTGGGCAGGGCGTATGGTAGTGGGCCCAGAGTTCGTGGTTTGCTTTTGATTTTGCACATATCAGAGGTTTACCGTCGTATGATAGGTATCGATGTGGACTGGTCGTGGCTTTGGCAGAGGATCTCGTTGCTGTGCAGTCCCGCGTTTCGGGAAGAGTGGCACTTAGCACTTCGGATTTTGTGTTATCCTCGAGCATTCAGCTTCGGAACCCTGCTTCAGAAGTTATGGAAATTGCGCTGGGAGATAGATATTGTGCCGTTGTTGATGATGCGCATATCACCCAAGTATTCATGCATAGGACGCCCAACGGCGAGCCAGCTGAGCCTATCAATCGTTCTGAATTTTACGGCCGATATTTATCACCTCGCAAGGTAAGTTTCCGTCTAGAGCTGTTGTAAATTTGGAGTTTATAGGACTTCCCCATAGACAGTAACACTGCAGTTTCTACCGAATGATCAATTGCTTTTCAAGTCTTATAGTTTCATAGCCGTCTATAAACCAGTCGCCCCCGATTCTTCGGCCATGACAACCAAATCTGTTCTAATAGCGCCTTCCACTCACTCCTTTGGCCTTCTTACGCAACGACGGACCGCCAACGTCCCATTCATGCCTGACTATATGTCTCTGCCTCTGCTAGCGCTATGCAACAATGGCACGGAAGTCGCCCATTTCGATCTCTGTGCTCCTCCTCATGACACCGAAGACGGATTGGTGAGCGACTATAGGCTCTCGCATCGTCTTTCAGCCTCGTACCAACTTGTACCTTGGATAAAACCGTTTTCTCTGGGAACCATTAACGGAGGGCATTCCCGGCTCGTTTGGATAACCTCCGCGGGGGGTCGACCGTTTGGGATCGCCCTAGGGCGACTATCTGTTGGAAACGGCGATCCGACACTCTCCTACCAAACTCAACTGGGTTTGACTGGGTTAGATCTGGGAGATTATGGAAAGGCACTGGCCAAGCACGCACCATCCGAACCTCTGTTTGCTTTTCATGAGGGTGAAGGAAAACTATTCGGTGGCATACGAGGAGTCCCGGACCTGTTTATGATGAACTATTAGGTATCGGTATACAGTGGTTAAGTCTTGAAATACAGGAATATACTCAAAACATCTTTATTTCTTGAAGGAATGGATGATGCGACGGCTGCCACCTAGCATTCACAAGAAGCTCGTTCATCGGATTAAAATCTCACTGTTAAGGAGAGCTTTCCTTATGATATTGATGAAGCTCTAGACCATATCAATCCGGTATGGTGTAACGGCTAACATTGTCGCCTTTCACATGCAAATGTGATTATTTAATCGCGACGGCTCGGGGTTCGATTCCCCGTACCGGAGTATTTTGCTGGACTTTTATTTTACTTCTACTTAGTTGGGCTATCGAGTGCCCGTTCTTTTGGGAGTATGGATCCTTATTTCTGTACGTACAATTGAGTTACTTCTGATTGTTGCTGAGCGTTTGAAGTCCGTAAACGATTGTCATGTGTGCAACGTGTTTTGGACGGGAGACATGGTGTCTGTAGCATATAGATACGAGGCTATTATCTCTACCTACTGGCCTACGTTGATTATTTTGATTTTTTCGTTCTTTCTCCGTCCTTTGCAAGATCCAAACATATATCGAGCTCGGTAACACGTTCTACGTTACTCGACGAAGTTCACACATCGCAGTCTGATTTTTATGATCAACAGAAAGAACGATGTTGATTCTTTCGGATTAAGTAGGCGTAAATCATTGAAACTCCGGGTCGGAGTTTCTGTTGTGTCTCCGACTTCCGCCAAGCCTGAACTTCTAGAAGAAATTGTCTCGCCGAGACCCGTGCTAACAAGAATAGTTGAATTTTCTCTTCCTCATATAAGCAGTTTTGAAGCCTAATCAAGCTCTATCACTCCGCCCCTCGACGTCTAACAATCAATTCAACTTGCGTTTCATAAGTACAGATAGGTAAATGCATAAAAATTGGAGGGTAACCAATACGCCACGAGCACACCAGTCTAAAACAACATCTAAAACCTAGTTTGATTCAGTCAAGAATAAATTTTCTACTCCTAGCACGATCTAGAGCGCATCCGGCGAGACATCACCAAGAGTATTAGCGTCCATGGCGCTGTAGGCAGAGAATGGGGCATCCCCGGCTTCAGAAGCGGTATCAATATGTTCCTAGAATCAAAGTTAGCTCGAGTTGCATGCAAAGCCGGAAATAAAATCGGACATACATCAAAGTAGTGACGAGCCACGCTGCGAGGGGCTGCAATAATTTATCGTTAGGCGATGCCCGAGGTGTATAGGTGCATATACATACTCTTTGGCGTGCGCGGCAAGCGGCAGGATAGCCCGCTCTGCATAATTGAGAACGCGACTAGCCCAGTCCTAAGCAGTAAGGTGAGAAAAGCTGCTGAAGTGTTATTTAAAGATGGCTCACCATCCCGTCTGATGGGACGCTCCCAAGCCACGTCCATCATCTCCATGGAAGAACTCGTGGAACCAGACATAGTCCCTAAAGTGCGGGTCGAAATCAAGCTTGTCCTCTCCGCCGTTGGTTGCGCGACGGCCATCCATATCACGACCAAAGATGTGAATGAGACGATGTTGGATTTCGTCAGCAACCTTGGCGAGATCCATGTAGTCTCCGCTGCCAGTTGGACATTCGACTTGGAGGTCGTTGCCGTAGTATTGGTGGAAGCGCTGAAGAGACTCGACCAACAGGAAGTTGACCGCAAGCTGTATACGAGTTAGAGGTAGTAATAACATGCGAGCATACAGCTTACCCAAATAGGACCACGCCAGTTGGAGTTACCACCGAACATACCAGACCTCGAGTCTCCAGGCCAGTACTCGACACCAAAGTCTTGACCATGGACGTTGATCGACCACGGGTGATCTTTATGGTGCAGGGACATTCTGTGACTCGAGTTAGAATGTCATATTATAAAACAACATCGAGGGGACGTACGAGCGAATGCCATAATCGCTAAAGAATTCAGACTCGTCCAACATTTTCTCGAGGATCCTCACGAGGCGCTCCTTGCTAGCCAGAGCCAGTAATCGTCGTTCACCCTTTCCGCGAGCTGGACGTTGAAGATATTAGTTTCAGCCCCGCGCTAATTTAGTTAAACATACCCTTCATGTTGGCCATGTTACGTTGTGAGATTTCGGGACGGTTATCGATGAACCACTCCATTCGCTTTTTGAAACCAGGGAACCGATTGATCACGCTCGGCTCGAGCACGAGAGTCGCATACAACGGGATCAAACCGACGAGCGAGCGAATCGGCATTTGTTGAGAGCTAGTCTCACCCCATTGAATGGCGTCAAAGTAGAACCCTTCTTCCTCGTTCCAGAGCGACAGCTCGTGTTCACCCTCACGGTAAGTCATTGCATCGGCGATGAAGATGAAGTGCTGATATTCGTATTAGGTAATTACTAGGGTAGTACCATATCGGGAACATACCTCAAAGAATTTGCTTGCAATATCTTCATAAACGCTGTTGTGCTTCGCAAGTTCAAGGGCCATGTTCAACCTATATCCGAGTTAGTCACTACATAACTCCAGCTCAAACTATGTATGGACTTACATGTTGAGACAGTAAAACGCCATCCAAGCCGTACCATCCGCTTGCCGCAACACACCGCCGGTCGGCAGCGGCTCACTCCGGTTGAAAGCGCCAATATTATCGAGCCCCAAAAATCCGCCCTCGAACACGTTGTTTCCTTCTGTGTCTTTCCGGTTAACCCACCACGTGAAGTTGAGCAACAGCTTCTGGAAAACACGTTCCAGGAACTGGAGATCCTCATTGCCAGTGAGCTTGCGTTCGATCTTGAACACTCGGAACGTCGCCCTGCGGGGGTTTGGGGTGTGGAGTTAGAGTTGAGGGCGGAGACGATTTGGGTTGGGGTGAAGGCGCAGCCGGGTAAAGGGGTGGTGGTAAAGGGCGAGATAAGGGGCATGAGTTTTTACCCCGCATACACGCGTTAATTAACACATACCAGGCATGAACCGGCGGATTTACGTCGGAAAAGTTCCATTCGTATGCCGGAAGCGCGCCATCGGGTTTCATGTACCACTCGCGGGTCAACAGATCGAGCTGCTTCTTGGCAAATGCCGGGTCGATCATCGCCAAAGGGATGCAATGGAACGCAGTGTCCCACGCAGCGAAGAAAGGATATTCCCACTTGTCGGGCATACTGTAATAGGCTCTGGTCAATATCGACTAGGGGGAATGGCCAAGGGCACACTCACGAAAGAACATCTGCGATATGCAGATGCTTCCATCCCCGGTTCCTCACATATTTTCGCTCCGGGGGCGGGGGAGGCTGCGCCGGATCCCCTTGAGACCATTCCTTGTGGATGAATTTGTAAAACTGTTTGCTCCACATCATACCACCCAGAGCTTGACGCATAATCGCCCTCAAATCGTCCGTGATACCACCGGATCCAGAAGCAAGCCTCGCGTAGAACTCATCCGCATCTTCGCGTCGTGCATCGATGGTATCATCAAAGAGTTCTTCGTCCCAAATCGAGGAGTCCTGGTTAGGCGTATTTGGGGTTATCTTGAGACGCACGACCGCACACCCTCCGCGTGGTGGAACCGCCTTGAAGACGTAGTGAGCTGCAGCCTTGGTACCCTCCTTGTTAGGGTTGACGAACACCTGCTCCCCCTGTTCGTCGAATGGGCGCGGGGGAGGGCGAACGGTTGGAGTCATCGGCTCGCGTGCAAAGTCCTCCTCGCAGTCGCCTCGTTCTATACGGATCTCGGCCTCGCTCTTTTCGAGCCCTGTTTCCGGCTCGACCACTGGACGATGCTCGGGAATGATATGGTCGTGGAACGCGTCCTTGACGTACGGACTCGAATTGACACCGCCGTAGAGGCGCTGATAGTTGGTGTCATTCTCGGTAAAGAGCATGTCAGGGATAACGCCGTCGCCCTCGACTTCGATGATGTCCTCGCCGTCGGCGGTAGGGCCGACAGGCGGGGGAGAAGGCATGCAGTACATATATGGAGTAGTCGAGAGCTTCTCGCTGACCATCTTGACGGTCCCGGGCCCCGCGAGAGTGATTTGGGGACGTTTAGGGGGATCGAGAGTCCAGGACCAAGTGTTCGGGAACCAAACTTGGGGGATAATGTGGAGGTCGGCAGGCTCAGGCCCGCGATTGTAGGCGGTGATGCGGATGGACATGGCCTCTGGGTCATCGGCATCCTTGGCGTACTCGATGAAGACATCCCAGTAACGATCGTCATCAAGGATGCCTGTGTGGTTGAGCTCGTACTCGGGTACATCGCGCCCACGGCTAATGCTCTCGCGAACGAGCTGCTCGTAAGGGAAACGACGCTGAGGATACTTGTACAAGAACTTCATGTACGAGTGCGTTGGTGTTGAATCGAGATAGTAGTAGAGCTCCTTGCAGTCTTCACCATGGTTGCCTTCATGGCCGGTAACACCGAACAAGCGTTCCTTGAGGAAAGGATCCTCGCCGTTCCAGAGAGCAAGGCCCCAACACAAGTTCTGGTGGTTGTCGCAAATCCCACCCAAGCCATCCTCGCCCCAACGGTAGGCACGCGAGCGAGCGGCAGAGTGGGGAAAAGCTGCCCAGGCATCACCATTTGCAGAATAGTCCTCGCGGACAGTCGCCTAAACTTTTCATTAGCGTGAGGACAATGGGGTATATGAAATACTAACCCATTGCCTCTCGGCAAGATACGGCCCCCAACGCTTCCAGTGGCGCTCCTTGCGCGCGTCCTGCTCAAGGCGGTAGTTCTCGACGCTCGTGTAGGACGTGCCGAGCAGGTCGAGAACCTTTTGGCGGTACGAACGCGTATCCTCCTCTTCGGGCTCGTAGACTTCTTCCTTTGCACCAACTTTGCTCTTGGGCAAGGGTTGGGGCGCGGCAGGGGCGGCCTGGGGCTTTGGAATGTCGATGGTGAGGCCCTGGTCGGTCGTCGACGGGGCACCGGGCTCCGAGCTACCGGTGGACGACTGGCTGAATATCCTATTCTGTATCTTCTTCGCTGTCGACATGGTAGAAACCAACGAGAAAGTAGCGAGGACGAGCCCACGGGTAGGTCGTCGTTGAAGCTAGAGTTGCGCGCCCGGATCGAGACTAAAACTTGCCCTAGACGGTCAGGTGATGATCGACCCCCTAGTTTCACACGATGCTATAATGACCAATTCATCCAAGGCGATGACGCGCGACCGGATCGGGTCTAGATTCCCACGTATCTAGCCAAAATCAAATAAACGTTCAATAGGCATGGAAGTAAACCGTGAATTATCTCGCACATAGCGGCTGACGTCGACTTATTTGGGAGTCTTTTGGTACTGTGTTAACTTACGCTAG